GAGCCCAAGCTCATGAATCCCTACTAAAGCAGACTGTAAGATCTCTTTTTCCCCAGGGATTGAACCCAAGGGTGCTTAAACACTGAGCCACATCCCCAGACCTTTTAATTTTTTTATTTTGAGACAGGATCTCACTAAGTTGCTTAGGGCCTTGCTAAAATTGCGAGGCTGGCACCAAACCTGCAATCCTCCTGCCTCAGCCTCCAGTGCCACTGAGATTTTAGGTATGTGCCGCCACACTGGCTGGATCATAAGATTCTGACATCTAGCAGTGAGTGCCCTCTACTCTCAACTTTCTACCCATCCTTGAAATGTATCTCATTGTCAGTGCTGCATTGGGGTGATGGGATGATCCAAATCAGGGTCAAAATACTAGGCTCAGGCCAGTCCAGAGTCTGAACATGGAAACAGAACCAAGGGTGTGAATGATTAGCGACAGGGTTATGAAACCAAGGATATGAGTTCTCACCCACGTCCCACACAAATGACAGAATTGGGGTTTCTTTTCGTGGAGTGGCTGGCTGCGAAATAAAGGCTAAGAAAGACAAGGCAGCGAAAAAACCCACAGGACACAGAAAGTAATTTTTAAAAAGCTGAGGTGGGACAGCTAGCCATCTCAGGGATCGAGCTTCCACACTAGAAAAAGAGGAATGGCGCCCACGTTTGCTTTTTTTATATGGGGGAACATCAAAGGTTTTTCATGGAATGTTCTTTGCCAAATAAGGTAAGAGGTGAACTGTCCAGTTCCCAAAGGGTTTCACCCAATTCTGGAGCTACAAGATTTGTCTCCCAAGTAGAGCGAAGACAAGAGATCTCATGCCTTGGGCGATCTGATGCACACGGAGAAAGCCAGGATAGTTCCCAAGGAAAAAAAAAAAAACCTAAATATTCATGGCTCAGTACCACTCAAGTGGCTCATGGGTGGCTCCCCACAATGAATCTGAGGTGGGAAAGAAATACCAGGCAGGGCATGCCCACAGTGAGCAAAAATGTGTGGATCAAGATCCAGGATGCTACTATGAATGGAACTCTACCTCTATGCCAAAACCAGGAGATCTGGGACTCCTACCTCCAAACTTTAATTCCACCACTTTGTTCTGGAGGAACCCTTTCAATTTCCAAATAATCTGCACATACAAAATTTCATTTGATCTTCAAAATCAGTCTGAATGAGCCGAGTAGAGCAATAATATCTCCATTTGAGCCATGCAAATTGATGCACATTGGTAATCTCGGTGACCTGGGATTTACAGGAGAACTGTAAATTTGAAGCCATTTCCAGAAACTTAGTGAGGCCCTAAGCAACTGAGTCAGACCCTATCTCAAAATAAAAAAATAAAAAGGGCTGGGGATATAGCTCGGTAGTAGAGTACCCTGGATTCAATCCCTAGTACAAAAAAAAAAAAAATTCCATTTCTCCATTTGATTTACTGGCAATCAAATGGTCAGAGAAGCTAAGTAACTTGTTCACTTCCCATAACTGGATTATTAGAGAAAAGAAAATGAATTTTGGTTAAAATTAGCACCAGCAAACTATTTGATTTCTATGCAGCTCTATTTTTTTGTTATCATTATTAAATAAATGATATTTTTAGAGCACCTCTGTGTTGGGCATACAACAGATGCTCACTAAATGGCCGTTTCTTTCCTTCCTCCATTTATTATTTGTTTTTGCAGCTCTGAATTCTGTGCTCCTTACACTAATTCAGTGTAAGTGTTGCCTTCCACTGGCTAAAGGGATGTTGGCTACTAAATTCACCCCTCTAGAACTCATATTCTTCATCCATTTTTATCAAGTGGATTACCAGAAGACTGGACTAAATTATTTCTATGCTGTCTTCCAGCTCTGATAGTTTGCAGCCTTATGAAAACTGCAATTCTTGCTGCCAGTCTAGTTAACAGACCAGCTTTGCAAAGTCTTCACCTGTTATACTTCATATAACCATCAGGGGGCGCCCACGACCATTTATGACTGGGATGAACTCAAGTGCTAAGGTTGTGAAGCTCTTGCCCAGGCCTTCACAGAGCTGGAAGGACTATCTTCCTAAAGACAAGAGGGGAGAGAAAGTTTTAGTCTCTATAGGGAGAAGCTATTAAGAGTTCAGGAATGAAGCTGGTGTATAATTACAGCCCAGTGATTGCCTATGGTGGGCTACACTTACCACCATCCCTTAGAAGAATCTACCACGGGGGAGTCCTGGGAAAGTTTGCTGCCAACCTCCTCCTTGCTCTAACTCTGGTTCCACCTAGTAGGTCACCTCTGGAAAACCCACTTGCTTCTCACTCCCTCTCCAACTCAATCCTCTTTTGCTGTCATTTCCATCCCATGCCCAGCTCCTGCTAACAGACTTCTGGAAGGACAAGTGGCTCCACAGGCTCTTCAGTTTTCATTGGTCTGTAATCTTCACATCTCTAGGTTAACAGCCATGGTTGTTCATCTTCACAGTTCAAATGCACAGGCTTCCTGCTAGCAAAAGCAGCCTGCTCTCCGCCCAAGGATGTAAATCTCCTTCAGTTTGACACCTGGCCACAAGTTGCTAGAGAAATGACCAGAGAGGCTGCCTCTCCAGCTGTCAAATACACTGGTGACAATCTGCAGATGGAATCCACAGCCCAGTACAAGTCTAAACACTCCAAAGGAGGCTGACAGTTGGCACCCGGGTGCATATGGAGCAAGACACAAGCAGTATGAGCTCTGGATGCTATTCAAGGATGATTCTATAAACCAGAGTCCCCTCCTCCAAATCATCCTCTCCCTGCCTAGGACTGACTGGGCGATTTTCCTCAGTGATGTCAGGATGGGTATCCAGAAATGGGTAGAGGAGGCCCTCTTATTTATTTATTTATCCCAGACTTGAGCAAGACTTCCTTCTCCACCAAGAGACAGTTCAAGAGTTGAGTCCTTTCCAAGAAACGTTAGATACCTCAGACACCAGAGATTGCACACTGCTCTGCATTGGAAAGGAGAAAGTCATCTTTGGTATGCAAACATCCTGAGAAATAAAACCTGGGCTCCAGAAGAAAAGAGAACAGCGTAGACGGGGTCCAATTCACAGAGAACACCCATATGTGGAAATACACTAAGCTTATCCTGAGGGCAGATCTAAGTTTTATAACTCTAGGGCCCCTGAACCTACCAATGCACTGTATACCATGTCACAAGCATGCTAAACATTTAGTGATTTACTGAATATCCTGTGAATCAGCCCAGACCATGGTTTATGGAGTCTAAATAAGAGCCCACAAAATTAGCAAGGGATTTCCATAGAATTTTTCTTTCCATAGGAAACCTGCCCAATAAGTTTCATTAAAATTGAAGTAAGGAGCCAGGCATGGTGGTTCATGTTTGTAATCCCAGTGGCTCAAGAGGCTGAGGCAGGAGAATTGCAAGCTCAAGATCAGCCTCAGCAACTGAGGCTATACAAAACTTGGTGAGACCCTGTCTCAAAATAAAACATAAAAAGGGCTGGGGATGGCTCAGTGGTAAAGCACCCAGTGTTCAATCCCTGGTATAAAAACAAAAACAAAAATCAAAGAAACAAAAAAGATATCAACAGGCTCAAAATTGTAACTTTGGTTTTACTTGAAGAGAATAACATAAATTTCTGCAGCCTAGGAATAGAGTGGGAAGGTAGAGGCTATGGAAATATTTTTTTATTGCCCAAGACATTGCCCAACACAAAAAAAACAATACTGTGCTATATCTAGACACACACACACACACACACACACACACATCACATAGACATGGCACTGAACCAAACTGGTTCCTGCTGGCAATAAAAGATTATGGATCCACCATGGGTTTATAATATGGAAGGTGACCAATGTCCCATGTATGATCCCGGACACAGTGGGCCCGGCTTTGCTACTCCCTTGCAACTGGATTCCAGGAATTTCAGAAAGCATAGGGAGGCAGGAGAGTCAAAGGCTTGAGCTGACTCGCTTCACGCTTCACCCAAACAGACTTTCGTTTTTTGTTTTTATGAGGATTAGGAAGAAAGGGACAGGGATTAGTTATAATTTACTGCCTCTGTCAAAAGCTAGCTCTGAGTAAAAGGGAAGGGAGCAAATGGATTATGAAAAAAAAAATGGGGAGAAAAAGAGAGCAAAGGATGAGCTGTATTCTGTAATATTTATTAATTTGATTTTAAATGGAAAAGAAGGGATCTGTTCCAATGGTTCATCTTCCTATGAACCCTGGAGTCCCCCCGCCCCCAGCCCTGAAGAAGTCCTTCTGCGTGAGGTAGATCAGACTTGTTCTGTGTCTAATGTGAGAGACATTGGTGTGCCGAGAGACATTGATGTGCCGAGAGCCATAGAGCAGGAACCAGGGACAAAACCCTAAACCTTGGCCTCTTCTAGCCTGGTCACAGAACCTAGAGAATACCCATGGTTTTTCTGGGTCTGGGCAGCAGCAGGAATGGAGCTAGAGTGCTCTCTTTGCCCTACACACACCACACACAAGTGAGCAAGGTGATGTGCACCCTGTCATAGCCATGGGGCTGCTCTCAGGGCAGCTGGTGCAGGCAGCCTGGCACCCTGGCTGCTGAGGTAGTAGTGGGAGGAGGTTTAGAAAACTTCCCTCGGAGAGAGAGAAGATGGTGAAAACCCCCTTGGTTTAAGGAACCCGCTTCCCATTCCATAGCCCAGTCAGCAGGTTCTGGAAAGTAGTTCTACAGCTGGGGCATTCCTTAGGGCTCATTCTGAACAGAGAGCCCAGAGACTTTCCAAAGGTTCTGCATCCACGGAATTGTTTCTTAAAACTCCTCAGGAAGCCCTGAAAAAATGGAGATAACATATTTTGGGTAAAGACTGACTGGGGGAATGGGGCACTGAAGGGAAGGGATAGCCCCCACAGGGACCCTGGGAAGCATATTTTATTACACACAAGCATGGGGGACCACCATGTTACAAAAATCCCATCTCCTAATTGCAGCCCAGTCTTTGAAGGGGGTGGGGCACAAATTTCTACTTACAGGTTCCTCCTGCGCTGTCTTTCATATCCGAAGTGCATTCTCACCTTCATAGCCTTCAAACCTTTGAGAGAAATCAACTGAGGACCAGGGGTTGGTAGGGCCACTAGTTTTCCATGCAAGTCTGAGCCAGGTATAATGATGGCCACAAATCTGGGCGCCCAAAGAACTGAGCTAGAAAACCGACACGAGAGCCGACCACGGGGAGGAGAGGCCTCAGAACACAGCTATTCTTTTCTGTGGCACATCCTAGGATGAAGAACCACCCACCACCTGCCCCTCTTTTGCTTCAGCCCTTGTGGTTGGATCCAAGAAAGGAAAGGACCTTGGTCCCCTTTTGGTTCCCTACTCTGCTCCCTCTTTTGTCAAGGCAGAGACCCCTCCCAGAGACCTATTTCCTTCTACCAAACCCTAAACTCAGAAATGAAGATGCCGTATACCATCTGACTCTAAACTGCCTGTCCCTCGGCCCTGATTACCTACCTGTTGAGCGGTGAACATGGCCTGGACTCCACGGGGCTGGCCCCGGCCGCTGGAGAGCTCAAGGGATGGCGAGTTGGGGAGGCAGTGGCCCGGGTCTCCTCTGGACGGCAGCCGCTGCCGCGGCACAAAAGACGGCGGAAAGCGCTGCGAAAGTCCGGACTACGACAGTAGATCAGTGGGTTGAAGGCAGAGTTGGCATAGCCTAGCCAATTAAGGGCGAGGAAAGCCGGGTCAGGAACTAGAGAGGGTCCCCCTAGGGCGCGCAACACGTTAGCTAGAAAGAAGGGCAACCAGCACAGAGTGAAGGTGCCCATGATGAGACCCAAGGTGCGCAGGGCCCGGTGCTCCCGGAGAGGCAGAAGCCGCGCGGGCCGCCGGCCACCGGAGGGCACTTGAGTCGAAGGGCACGTCCCCGAGGTGACAGGGTACCGAGAGTGCGACAGAGCCGACGGAGACTCCTCCGGCGAGAAGCGGCCCAGCTCCCGGCGCAGCAAGCACAGTTGGCGCTTGGCCACCACGAAAACTCGTGCGTAGACGAAGAGCATCACCAGAAGCGGAAGGTAAAAGGAGACTGAGGAGGAGAGCAGCGCGTAGGGCATGTTGGAGGCGAAGGAACAGCAGAGCGGATTGGAGTGGCAACGCTGCGCCTCGGCGTCCGCACCTACGCGCCACCACTGGCTCATGATCGGCGCAAAGGACACCGCGGCCGACACCACCCACACCAGGACCACGGCCGCTCCAGCACGGCGCTTGGTGACTAGTGCACTATAACGCAGTGGGTTGGTCACGGCCAGGTAGCGGTCCACAGCCAAGGCGCACAGGGTTTCAATGCTGGCCGTCACGCATAGCACGTCCACCGAGGTCCATAGCTCGCAACCAGTCGCGCCCAAGGGCCAGTGGCCAGTCAGCGCCAAAGTAGCCCCTGGCGGCACTACCAGGAGTCCCACCACCAAGTCGGCTGCGGCCAACGAAGTGACGAACACGTTGGTCATGGTCTGGAGTCTCGGCGTCCGGGCGATGGCCACGATTACCAACAGGTTACCTCCCACAGTGGCCAGCGCCAACAGCGCCCCAGCCAATGCTGCAGCCCAAGGTACCCCTGGCAGCCCACTCGTGTTGGCGGTGTTGGGTACAAGGGTGGGGGCGTCTGGCCACAAGGCCAGGGAGCCGTTCCCGTGAGGCCACGGAGCCATCTCCGCGTCGCGAGTGGAGCAGGAGAGAGAGGGAGGGAGGGGCTCTCCCCGTCCCCTGGTTCAGGGGAGGGAGCAGCAGAACCTGGGAGCGACTCCCCCAGCCTGGGCCATCTTCCGTAGATGAGACCGGTCAGCCTCCCCCCACCACTACCACACCCCCACTCCCTTGGTGCGAGCGCTCAGGGGTGGGGGGAGGTGTGGCCGTGCTTAAAGGGGCAGCGACCAATAGTTTCTAAGGGAGAGGCCTCAGGGACGAAGTGGAGGGTGGAAGGGAAGACCTGTCACAGGGTGTCCATTCTTGCCATAGGCCAGGAGCAACACTGGGAGAAAGTAAAAAAAGAACCCTCCCACCTCCAACCTTTAAGGAGTCAGAGGAAAAGATGACTTTCCCAAGGCAAGCAGAATATCCAGAGTAGCCTGTCATCTACTTGGGTGCCTCCGCTAAAGTGTTTTGTATTGTTTGGTGGTGCTGGGGATGGAACCCAGGGCTTCCTGCATGCAGGCCAATGCTCAGCCACTGAGCTATATCCTCAGCCCACCTAAGGTATTTTATTTTATTTTCAAAATTTATTTACTGTTTTGGTACTGGGAATTTAATCCAGGGGCACTCTACCACTGACATACATCCCCAGCCCTAGCTGTTTGTTTGTTTGTTTATTGTTTTTGAGACAAGATATCACTGAGTTTCAGACTGTTGTCCAACTTATAAGCCTCCTGCCTCAGCCTCCTGAATTGCTGAATGACAGGTGTGCACCACCACATCCTGCCTAAGGTATTTTAAATTAAGTAATAGAAGGCAGCCAGTGCCTCCTGTTCTCTCCCAAGACCTTAAGCCATGATGAGATTTATCACTTTCCCTTTCTGTTTTCACTTGCCTTCTCTTCCCTTCCAGTTTTCTGGGTTTTTATTTATATTTATTTTTCCCCCAGCTACTGAGGAAATTGCTATTTCAGGAGTCTTTCATTGCTTGCCCATTTTCATTTGGATTTGGTATTATGTAGTTTGGGATGCTGAAGAGTTTTGATTCCTCAATCTTCCCTTCCCTATACTGCCCCCTTCACATACCTTTCCACCTAGAAATTTTCTAGATAGATTTCATCTCTTAAAATTATCTGAAACGATGACATGTTAAAAGAGATGGGGCTGGAGATGTAGCTCAGAGGCAGTGCAGTTGCCTAGCAAGCCTAAGGAAAAATGGATAAACAGAGCCAGTAGGAGTGGTGCACACTGTAATTCCAGCTACTGGGGAGGCTGATGTAGGAGGATCACAAAAGTGCCAGGCCAAGTCAGGCAGTAGTACATGTCTGTTATCTCAGCAGCTTGGGAGGCTGAGGCAGAAGGATTGTGAGTTCAAAGTCAGCCTCAGCAACTTAGTGAGACCCTAAGCAACTTATAGAGACCCTGTCTCAAAATAAAAAAAATAAAAAGGGCAGGGGAGGGCTGGGATTGTGGCTTAGTGGTAGAGCATTTGCCTAGCATGTGTGAGGCACTGGGTTCGATTCCTAGCACCACATATAAATAAATGAATAAAATAAAGGTCCATCAAAACTACAAAATAAATTTTAAAGGGGGGAGTGCTGCAGTGGGTGTTGCTCGGTGGTTAAGCACCCCTGGATTCACTCTCTGGTACAAAAAAAAAAAAAAGATCAGCATAGGCAACTTAGCAAGACCCTGTCACAAATGAAATTTTAACAGTGGTCAGGGATGTAGCTCAGTGGTAGAGCACCTACCTAGCATGTGCAAGATAAGGCCCTGAGTTCAATCCCCGGTACCACAAAAATAAATAACAGCGCTGTGGATGTGGCTCAGTAGTTAAGTGCCCCTGGGTTCAATCCCCGGTACCGAAAATTCAATCAATCAATAACAGTAGTAAAATAATAGGATGAATAGGATGTGGTGGTGTAGCTCAGGGACAGAGTGGGAACTTAGCATTCTGAGGCACTGAGTTCAATCCTCAACACTGCCAAATAAAAGATGAATGGGTTTGAGGTTAAGCCTTGTCCACCATCACTCTCAACTGTCCACAAATCTTCCACCAGCCACCAATGGTAAATTCTTCACTACCGTGAAGACTTTATTCATGAGCTTTTGGAAATTAGAAGATGTTGGATTTAGGAATTCTCATGTGCATTCTCCAGTGCACTAGGTCAGGCCTGGTATTTTAATGCCTCTGAGGTCTCTTATTCACTCCCAGCAAGTTTCCCTCACCTGAAGAAGCCTAGAGGCCCCTTTCCTGCTCACTCATTCAGACTTACAAGGCCTGGTTCTTCCAGCCCAGTCTCCCAGGCTTTAAACCAGTTCCTCTCAAGTTGGGTGTGGGGAAGAGAGGTTGGAAAATAAAATCCAAGTTGGGGGGCAGGAATGAATGTATGATACCTTTATTAAGGCCTATCAGGACCTGATCCTCAAGCTGTTTTGTTTCCTCCCCTGAAACAATGGGACAAAAGGAGGAAAAAAAAATATCATGGAAAATGCCTCCAGGGCTATGCCCTAGCATGTTCTTTGAACAGCTCTATATTTCAAAAGAGCACTGTATAGTCACTGATCTAAGCAATCCCTCTGGGAGGCTGAGCCAGGGGTTGGGAGTTAGAAAGATTGAAGGCAAAGTGAGAGCCTAAAATTATCCCTGAGGAAAAGAGAACCAGCTGGATCTCCCAGGGACCCAGCAGTTCACCCATGAGCAGGGTTTGTCATGAGCTCTCTTGAAGTACCCCAAACAGGCCTTCAGATCCCTAGAAGCCCGCAGGGGGGTGGTGATGAAGAGGAAACCTCTGGCCCCTCCCCTCCCTCTCCCTTCCCCCTTCAGAGTCCTGCCAGAGTGGTGCAGGCCTCATTTGGCTATGGCTTCTTGCTGATCAAGATGATCACTCCTAAATCAGGTTTTGCAACACCCCAGAGTGTTGCTAGTTATCCCAAAGGGGTGTCATAAGATTCTCAAAAAATAATCTCTAAAACAAATACATACCATTTGACAATTCTTTTCCAGAACATCAGAGTTGGTGGGGAAAGGAAAGGGATTCCAAGAAGTGAAGCCACTTCAAAAGATGTCATTGCTTCAGGGGGTGACCTTGTTCTTTGGAGGAAATGTGTAAAAATGTTTACATTTTCAAAAAAAGTCAAAATTTCCCAAATCACACGAGCATGCCTGAGTTTGGAAAATGATTCGACCAATAACCAAAGGACACTGAGAAGAAAAATGCCAGACTCCTGTAAGCAGAGGCTTTTCTGAGCAAGCAGAGCAATGTCAATGCCAAAGCACTTGGCTTCCTTCCTCTGCGCTAGCCCTTTCCTCCTTTAATTCTTTGGTCTTGTCTCCCCTGCCCAGGCTGACTCATGGAAGGCTCACTCCTTTGCCATTGTAGTCTATAGAATAGTCTCCTTTTATGTGATTTTGTGTTTTAAATTTATAATTTTTAAAATAGATAATACATTCACATTATTTACCCATCAAAATACTCAAAATGCATATTATAGAAAGTTGCCTTCATCCCAGTTTTCATCTCCCCAACAAGTAACTCCCATTAGATTTTTTTTTATCCTGCCAATAATACTTTATACACATGCAAGTCAATACAAACACATTCTGTGTGTGTGTGTGTGTGTGCATGTGTGTGTTATTGAGGATTAAATCCAGGGTCACTCTACCACTGAGCTACATCCCCAGTACTTTTTATTTTTTATTTTGACACAGGGCCTCCCTAAGTTGTCCAGGCTGGCCTCAAATTTGCAATCTTACAGGAGGAGGGATGGGAATAGGAAAGACAGTAAAATGAATCAGACATAACTTTCCTATGTTCATGTATGAATACACAACTAGTGAAACTCCATATCATGTACACCCACAAGAATGGGATCCTAATTAGAACAAGTTATACTCCATGTATGTATAATATGTCAAAATACACTCTACTGTCATGTATATCTAAAAAGAACAAAAAATATTTTTTTAAATTTGCAATCCTCCTGCCTCAGCCTCCCAAGTAACTTGAGACAACACGCATGCACCAACATACCCAGCTCAAATGTATATTCTTTTGTCCTTTCTTCTCCACATAAACATACAATGTTCTGTACCTTTCTTATTTAGCTTAACTATATATCTGTGATCCTTTCAGATCAATACATAAAATCTTCCCATTTTTAAATATTCTATTGCATGGATATACCATAATCCATGAAACCAATTATATACTGAGTGATATCTAGTTATTTCCTTTCTTTTCCTCTTTCATTTCCTCCTCCTCTTCCTTATTCTTCTTTTTCAGTACTGGGGATTGAACTCAGGGACTTATACATGCCAGGCAAATGCTCTACTACTGAGCTACATACCCAGCCCTTTTAAAAATTTTATCTTATTTTATCTTGAGACGGAATCTTGCTCAGTCCAGGTTAGCCTCAAACTTGTGATTCTCCTGTCTCAGCCTCCTAAGTAGCCAGTAATATAGGCATGAGGCATCACGCCAGGCTTTCTATCTTTATTTAGACGATGTGGCAATGAATAAATTAGTTCATACATGTGTGTAAGTATATTTGTAGAATAAGTTTCTACAAATAGAATCGCTGTGTTTAAGGCATATGTACTTGCAAATTTGGAAGAGAATGCCAAATTTGGAAGAGATTGCCAAATTGCACTCTCCAGGCAATGTACCCATTTACACTCTCACCGTCATTTTTGGTGGCCAACAGGGGGTTGAAGGCAAGTGGCCTAGTGCTCTGGGAAGTCATCCTAATGACTGGCCCAAAGGGAATTAGTATTGCCTGGTCTGTAGAGGTCATCCAACTCTGGATAGAAGCATACATTGCCCAGAGTAAGCATTACCCAGGGCTTCAGCCCCCAGATGACCTTTGTTCTGTGTCCTTGGAAGCAGGCAGTGAACATGGGCCTCTGAATCTACTGAGGTTCCCAGGCTGCTGTTTGTGTGTTGGGGGCACCTGGAGTAGTCTGGCTCTACTGTCTGGGAGAATAGCAAATAGTGATTCAGAATATGTGGTTGGCAGAG